GGGTTACAGTAATCTGTGCAGGCATGAAGGGAAATTTGTTGTGCAAGCCTCATGACATAGCCGAGATTTTAAGCACAGTCTGGTTGATTGTGTTGCCTCAACAAACACCTATTCTTATTATTCATTCAGCAGTTGTATATACATTGAATGACATGTTAAAAACTTAAGTTATATTCAGAGCTATGATTAGGACCCACTGTCTGATGATTCTAAGAATGAATCATCAGACAGTGGAAATGACAGTTTCCAGCCGACATTATACACCAGATCTGGAAGAGAAAAAAACAAGTTAATGGAACAGAAAGTTTTTTGGCGACTAGCAATTTTTGTACGAGTACTGCTGGATTAAAACACACATATTTATTGTAGTGTAATATTTTGATATAATATATGTTTACAATACTATTAGCTACTGTTTGTTTACATGTATTTCAACAGATTGTAATTAATATGCAAATGTAACGTTTACATTACAATACTTAATACCCTGATTATTCAAATATGATCTTTAAAGTGTAACTATCTTAAGCCATGGATATCCAGTGTAAGAAGAAGTATTAGTTAATAATAATATTGATTTAGCAGTGGAGTGGCTAGCACCTTTCTACTATAAGGTACAACCAGGTTCTCCTTTCTCATTTCACTGCAACGTTTGACTACAAGGCAAGGGGAAACTTTTGTTGGTATGGTGGCCGTGCTGGCATGCAACCACAAGCCTACCTATTTAACAAGACATTGTGAATGACTTAGTCCCCGTTGGAATTTGGAGGAATATTATACATACCAAAATAAAGTTGCGGACCAAAGGTATAGTTAGTAATTTAGAGTGAATAAATGGTTGGTCTAATATCAACAGAAATTAGATGTATTAAATTACTCTTCCAAAATCGAAATATATGGTCAGAAATTAAACAGGATAAGCTATTCATACATTTTATGTAAACAAACTGAATTTCTTTTGTCTGGACTAATATACAGAGATATAGTAATATGGTCAAAAAACAAGATTACAGGCAGTGTGGTTTGATCTTTGATCCGATTGTGAAACTAACCGTTATGAACATGTATCATAACATGTATAATTTCAAGAGTACATTTTGAAAAAAACAAGATGGCTGCCAGTTGGTCATTTTGAATTCAAACACAAAACAAATCACCAAGGACATGTAGCCCAACATAAACAATGTTTGTATAAAATTTTAACAAAAACTGAGAAAGCATGCATAAAATACCACATTTTCAAAAAACAAAATGGCTGCCAGTCAGACATTGTCATAGACATGTATCCTAACATGTATTTTGTATGTACCATATTTGAACAAAAACTGACAAAACATGCATATCATATGTTCAAAAACCAAAATGGCTGCCAGTCAGACATATTGGACTGAATCAGTAAACCACTGCATGTGCATATGTTCTGAATTATGACTCTGGACGGATGGAGACCGAATTATAAGTCCTCCTTTCGAACTTTTGAACTGATTGCCCAAACTAATATCTTGGTCTCGTGTGCATTTTTATAAGTTTATTGTTTAAGTTAGTTTTGAATTATATATCTTATTTCATTCAACATCACACTGATTCAAGAGTGATTAGATGAATAAGATTCCTTTTCTCATTAATATATTTATACTGTGTGGTGGGCAAGTTTTCCAACAAGCTTTGGATAAAAGAATTCTCGATACGTTTGCAGTAAAATTTATGTTATAAAAAAAAGTGTATATCTAGAGTATGTAATAAAAATATAGAATGGCGTTATTGAACATGTGTATCTCGTATTTTAAAGAATGCACACGGCACAACACTCATAAAGGTGACAGTAAAATTGTGTATGTATCACCCTAATGTGGTACATACACAGTATCATACATTGTTCTCTTCTCAATGAGAGCTGGGCTAACTGATTGAAGTAGAAAAGATCTAAATTGTGTAGTAGAACATCAATTAGTATGTATATATAGTACTATCCTTATATTTAGAAGGGGGAGGGTGACAATTGTTTATGCACCATTCAAGGGGGAGGTCTGCAAATTTCATGCAAATGTTTGTGAAAGGTCATATATTTTTATGTACGCGACTTTCAAAAAACACCACCCCTGTACTTTTTGTCCAGTACCTTAGATGTGTGAATTTGTAAGTTGAGATATAACATTTGTAAATTAAGACATGATTTGACTTAAGCAATGAAGCAGGAGTTAGCTTGGTCGCCTCGCACCAGGAAGGTTCTGGTTTGATTCCCGGAGCCGAACTTTTTTCACGCGCGCATTGGCAAAGGGAAAGCCCACCACAAAGACGGACGTCTGTGCGTGGGTTTATTCTCAGACAAGTCTTAGATTTATTCCACACATTACACAATACTCGGGGAGGCATTGGCATGAGAAAGCGCCGTCCGATCTGGATGGAACGTTTTGAAGCCAGTCGTCCGTAGGTGTAGCCCATCGTCGAAGTGTCATGAATTTGTTTGCGTGTATCTGTTGATGAACTTATTTAGCTGATTACTTGTGAATGGCAGTGTTATATCTGTCATCATTTAGGCTCATGCGAGGTTCTG